TGCCTCAGCAAATTGTCCACTCTATCTTCAAAATCATCCAGAATCTGACTACTCCCAAGGCCACCTCCTTGTTCCAAGCTATCCTCAGCTCTCCCCTAGGTTACTCCAACAGCTTCCTGACTGACCTCCCAGCCCCCATCCTCATACACCAAACACAGCAGCCAGTAACCCCAGCCAGGATCCCTCCACTGCCGGAAACCATCCAGCAGCCTCCCACCTCCGAGAGAAGACCATGGTCTGCCTCCGGAATCGCCCCCGCCAGCAACCCCCGACCTCTCCTAGGACTCTGCCATTTGCAATCTCCGCCAGTTATTCTGAAATCTGTTCAGTTAYGCCAGACACACTCCCACGTGGGCCATTTTAGCTTGTCCTTTCTCCTTAGCATGTTTTTCTGCTGGATACCCATGTGGGTGGCTAGTTCTCCTTCAGGTCTTTGCCTTCAAATGTCATCTGAAAAGATGAGTAATTCCCCGATCAGCCATTTAAGATTAAAAACAGCAATGCCCACCTTCCCAACTGGCTCTCCATTCTCCTCTGATATTTTTCTGATAACCACAGATATGTATTTATTCATTTAGTGTCTCCCCTGTGCAGAATATAAAGCCCATGACGTCAAGGACTTTTGTTTGATTTGTTCACTTCTCTATCTCCAATGCCTAAAAAATGCCAGGCCCAGAATAGACGTTCGGGAAATAATCACTAAACGAATCGCATCAATGAGTCTATGAACTGTCACCAATCTTAGCGTTAATTATAATACAGAATTAATTTTATCCTATTGATTGAAAGGGTCCAAAGCACTGAAGGCAAGTAACTTACCAAAGGCCCTAAAAAAGTCCCAAAGATCTACCACACCAATAAAAAGACACTGCAATTGCCCCCAGAAGTCTGGTCCCCTCTAGAAAAGAGTGACAACAATTTCACTTTCATTCTAACCCAAGCCATTTCTTCCGAGTGGGTCCCTGGTGTTTGTAAGAATGGAAAAGAATATATAAAGCCCCTGCTTTCTAAGGAGTCTGTAGTACTTTAATATCAAATATTTAGGGAATAAGCAAGATATATAATGGAGTGCTAAATTATTATATGGTGATTATTCCACTGAAGGAGAAAGAAGTTTAATCTAATGATTTTGTAGAAAAAGGGGAAATGGTGAAGAAATAGGATGATCTAATTACTAATTTCATTCTGTTGTTTCCGCTTGGTGCTGGGATAGGCGTGGCCCTCTCCCGTGGAATGTTCCTGACACCTTCGTTGCCTGAATCTACCCCACACAAGCTGCACATCAAGACCCCAGGAATTGTGCATTACAGCTTAAACGGGAAAACTGCACCTTGGCTAAGCAGGATAGCATTAGTCATGTTTCCCACAGAGAGTGCCACAAAACAGGCACTGGAGACAGAGACCAGGCCTGAGGGCCACAGGTAAAGGGGGCGTCAGCACCTGGGCTCAGGACTGCTCCACTCCCCAGGGGCTTCTCACGGATGTCAGAAGTTCCAACCTGGGGCCAAAGGTCTCAGAAGCTCCACCCCTTTGTCACMGCATCCCATGCAAGTCCCAGCAGTTGCCAGGTCACACCAAGAGCTTTCAGGGCTCAGCCCTGGCATCTGCAGTTCTCAGCCTGGTAGGCCGCTTTCCTCTCCCACCCGTCACTGGAAACTCACTCCCTTAACTAAGGCTGTGCCTGGGGGCTGCTCTATAGGGAATCTCTCCTCACCTGCCGTCCTGACACAGTGTTCCTGCTCTGTGCTCCCCTTGCCAACCCTGGCCATGGCTCTGTGTACCACCGGTTGCCTGGTACACCCACCAGTACTCTAAGGAGTAACAAATATTGCCTTTAGGCTGTGCCCCAACTGGTGACGGCTGATAAATGGCTGAAAAAGCACAGCTGGGTATCAGAACACCATCTACAGAGAAGCACTGCATTGTCTGGAACTGCTTGAATTTTTTTAGGTGCACAAAGTAAAAAATACATAAATAAGATAATTATCTTCCTGGGAATGAGTTCCTCATAGAATTTCTGAATCCTAAAATTCTTTACAACCCTGACCTGGGTCCAGGGACAAAACTGTTATTGACAGCTTCCATTTGTAAAACCAAGCCTGTTCTCTTCCTCTTCACATCTTACCAATTCAAAGACTCATAAGGGCACTCCCAGCCCCACCATCATACTGACTTGGTACCTTCTCCAATTTCACCTCTCCCCACAAAGCCTAGTCCAGATCACCTMTGGAAGCTCAGCTCATCTGGTTACATTCTTCGGGAACCCCCAGAAGCTGGTTGTAGTTTTCAGAACTGGATTTCTACGTTGCTGAATTAGAAGCCATTTTTCCCAAACTCAATTCTAGATGTCTGCTTAACTGGATCTAGGAATTAAGCACGTCCTAGCTGAGAAAGTTTGTTAAGAAACACTTTTCTAATCATTCTTAACTATTCAGAGGTTCTCTGAAGTTCAGAGATGTGGCTCAGGGGTAGAGCTTGCCTGGCATGCATGAGGCCCTGGGTTCCATGCCCAGCCACTGCAGGGATAAAAAACTCAAATTCTCTGAAACTCATCTCTCCGTTAGATTTTTTAATAATAATCTTGTAAAGAAACAGAATATTATTGGAAAAGGTTATTAACTCCTAAGATTCAACCGTGAAGTCTTTCCTGGTCTCACTTCCTTTTATAAGATCTTCACGTTAAGAGTTTATTCTTCTCAAAGTCTTTCCCTCAAGATTCTTGCAACACTTAATAAAGATGATAATCATCCACCTTAAGAAACAGGGAAGTGGGTGGCAAGTATTATTAACACGTTAGAGCCACAGGTTCTAAATATAAACGGTGTCTAGTTGAAGGAAACGTTAAGACCTGTCATAATATGGAAGACAACTGCTCATTTATAATGAAATTGATGATGTTTCAGGAATGTGTTTGAACTAACTTTTGAATTGGGTTTTTATTTTATAGGACTGCTATTAAGAGTCAACCTAGGGGAGAACAAAAGGACGGGGAAATGTCAGAATCCAACATGAAAAAAATTCCAATGGTCCAAACTGGAAGCCTTTAAGCAGCAAGGTAGTGACAGCATTGGATTACAGCCTGAAAATGAAATAAATACCCGTAAGTCCATACAATATAGTAAGTTATTCAATAAATAAGTAAATGTGTGAGAGGGACAACTGTTTCCTAGGGAAGAACTCTAAATAATGTCTGTAGAAAGAATGGGGTGGTGGAATGAGATGGCCATCATCTCTCTAGGTACGTGTACGATTGCACGAACAGTGTCTCTACACTGTGTACAACCAGAGGATTGAAATGCTACAATCCATTTGTGTACGATGAATTGCAATGCATTCTGTTGTCATGTACAACTAAGTAGAACAAATTAAAAAWTTTTTTAAAAAAAGAATGGTGGAAAGTTCTCATTGGAGTACCACAGGAAGAGCTGCTGCAGGTAGGATCCAGGCTGGATTCGAACACAAGTGGGCAAAACACTAAGGAGAAAGAGGACGTTCACAGAGACCCAAAGAGCTTTCCCCAAATACTACTAACTACCATGGTGCTTTCAACAAATGCACCAAAATTCCTGAATACTGTTTCCTCCTGGAAAGCTTGATGCCCCTGTCCTAAGTCTAAACTCAGTGACTCACTTATAAGGAACGGGACAGRAAAGCAAAACTAGAAACTTTTTAGTGGAGAGAGCCAACAGACACCACCTACACGACCAAGGTCAACATAGCCAGTAGTAATCACGTGGGGATCACAGGCTTTAGGATATGATGGGATGAGGGGGCATTTCATTTCTGTGGGCCTYTTCCCCAAAATCTGTAATGCCAGCCCAGTCGTAAGAAAACAGACCCATTCAAACCGAGGAGCATACTACACAATCTCTAACCAGCAAGCTTTACAAGTGACAAGGTCTGGGAAACAGAGAGCCGAATGAGGAAACGTCAGGAAGAGGGAAAAGGAGGCAGATGACAACTGGAACAGAATACCATGGCATCTTGTTCCCAGGACTAAGAAAAGGATATCAGTGGGGAAACAATGGGATCTGACTAAAGGTTATAGTTCATAGTGTGGTCTGTGTTTAATTTCTTAGTTYTGAMAAAAAGTATAGATATATGAGATTAATCTTCAGAGAAGCTGGGCTAAGGACATATAGGAAAGTCTCTGTACAATCCTTAAAATCTTCTGTAAATCTAAAATTATTTCAAAATTAACAGTTTTCAAAAATTCAATCTATGGGTTATCCTAATCAGATAAATTGCTTATAGTCCATCTRTACATCATTGTGGACTTGCAGGTACAGTACAGGAGTATGTGTATCATGATTTCTTAGTAATTTTACCTTTTTTAAATTATTTTGATGTCCCTGTGGTTATCATTTAGAGCAAATATACAAGACAATGACTTTCTAGTTATAAAAAAAACTTGGTATTTTTCATAGTATTCTATAAACTTATTAAATTATCATTATCAYCTTTTCATATCAATATATTCTATCTATACATTAAAATGCCATCAAAGAATGATTTCTTTGAAAATGTTCTTTTAAAAACAATTAAGAAATACAGGAAAGAGGGATAAAATGTTTAATTGTTGAAATAAACTAGTTGAGTACTTTATATTGCAATAATAAAGTACAAACGTCATTAGTAAATTAAGAATTTTCTAGATATCCAGGTATCGTCAATCTTAAGTCCTTGAAAATCATATAGAACAACTTTGACGAGATGCCATGATCACACAGAGGTGGAACRAGAGACTCGGTGGCCATGATGTACGTGTGGTCCCACGAGCCTCTGACCAAAGAAACAGGAATTCAATCAACCCGTATTTTGGGCATGCAAATTTAACTAGTTTATTTTTAAATATTGCAATGCTATACAATGTTTCAAATAAAGAAAATTCTCTACCATCTAAATCAAATTAGAAAACCAAATAGTAAAAAAGGGAAAGAGATAGTAGTAAGAATCCATTTACCAATTTTACAGCTAAAAATTAATGTGAAGTAGAAATAGTGAAAGATAAGAGGCCAAATATTTTACTTTAGGTAATGCATTTATAATGCCTTATTATCTAAAGTTATAAATAGAATAAGGATTTTGTTATATAAAAATTATCCAAAAAGTATCAGAGAAAAGACATGACATCCACAAGCTGAGTGGCCAGTGACAGTGCTGGAGCACGACAGCCCAGGCTGGACAATGGCCTCCAGACAGTCTGTGCTTGTCTTCCTGGGCGAGCCACAGAGTCCATAAAAAGCACACTGCCTGACCGGATCCCTCTGCTGTCACTGTGAACTGCGCCCATGCTTTCTTTCACTTAGGATTGGGGAGGGGGTGACTTTAGAATTTCCTTGGGAATGTCTGTGCACGTTGAAATGTCCCTGGGGCCTAACTCCTTCCAAATTGATGAGMAAGCTGTGAAGAGAACAAACAGAAAAGAATCAGCAAACTTGAAAAGGTGTATCAGATAACAATGCACAGCCAYAGTCCCCCAATTATGTACTGCTTTTTTTAAGTTGAGTACATACTCAACGTCCACCCAATATTTGTTGTTCTCATTGGAGTACATTAGTGCATGGCATAAAAAGAGACCAAATCAGGTGGCAAAAGAGACTTATAAACTTACAATTAAAATGCAGCATGATAAAAAATGCCCAAACCTGGCCACATGCATGTATAGACTGTTCAGTCACAAATCTCCCCTCCCTCMGTGGTCAGAAACTCCAGGGAGGGCTATTCCAGCTGTCCACGTGAGACTGAGCTCCCTGGGGATTCTGAGGAAGCCAGCCCATGCACTGGCATCTGAGAACCATGACTTCAGTCCCCTGCATGTCTCTGTGTACACGATTTTTACCCTAGAGTAAAGAGAAACTTTTACAAAGAATCTACACATTGCATTGTGGGCCAAGTAACTTTCAGAAACTCTGAAGTTATAGCTGAATTTCCTTAAGAAAGTAATCAAATCAAATGTGAACTTGGGTCAGTGAGTAAGCTCAGTTCTGAGAGATTCTACATGTTGGTCAAAAAAAGTACAGCTGATACTTTTTCCATAAGTCTTCTTCTCCAAAAGACAGACAGACTTCTCATCAGGATGTCCATCCAATAGCTAAGTCCAGAAAGCCACAAGTTAGACACGTCCCAGACCAGTACCACAACAGCCACGCAGCTATTCAACTTAGAAAATCTTTCAGGCCATTCCAAGAGGCAAAAGCGAGACCAGGATCAAAGTGATCATTTAGGTCTCTTCTCTGGACACGGCTTCGGTTATCTCGGACACGAATTCTCTCACTACCTCCATGGTCGCTGCCACTGAACTGTCAGTCTCCTGTCAATCAACCGCCTCCTCTACCACCATTGCTGCTGCCACTGATTGTGCTGCTGCCCCCCTGACATCACCGGGAGGTCTTCTTTCTGGGTGCTGCTGCCACAGAAGAAACCGCTGCCCTGGGTGCAACTGAAGCYGACACTGCTGCTGACCCCRGAGATCGCCTGGTGATCTGCCCCCACAGCTACAGTTGCAGCTGCCCCTGCAGCCACCGCTGCTGCTGCCTGCTGCCAAAAACCACCGCCACTACCAGTGCTACCATGGCCTATGGGACTGCTTCAGGGGAAACTCCAGGTTTGATTGCACATGGTTGCACCCATTTTGGGACACCAGCCAAGGCCTGGGGCCTGGGTGCCAGTAAGTTTACCACCCCAAGAGCCTCTGTCCGGGGACTCCAGATAGGACCTGCAGGTCCAGTGTGGGGGTGCCTGCAGGTTTGGAGGAGACTGGAGTCTTCCTGCTGAGAGTGCTGGTGGCCCTTGTCTTGCTGCTGCATCTCGGGGTTGCTCTTCTGCAGGAGTGTATCCCTGGTGGTCTCTCTGCAGGAAGGAGCAGCACTGAGATCTTGAGACTGCAGCGTGGCTGAGTCTGAGGTATGTGAAGCCCAGATCAGTGGGATAGAGACTGGGTTTGTGAGGGCTGATCTGGGCTTGGTGATCCCAAGAGATGTCAGAGACAGGACTGAGAATCTGTTGAACACTGACAGACAGTTTGGTTTTCTAGCAATATTTATTTTATTTTTTTAATATTTATTTTTTCAGTTTTCGGTGGACACAACCTCTTTATTTTATTTGTATGTGGTGCTGAGGATCGAACCCAGCACCCCGCGCATGCCAGGCGAGTGCGCTACCGCTTGAGCCACATCCCCAGCCCTATTTTATTTATGATTTACTAATCTCTCTACCATACTTGGAACAGGATGTTTTTTATGCATCAGTGTGGGGAGGACAATGAGATATGAATGGTGGTTTATAGTTCTGTTGTATTCTTATGTCTTTAATTTTTTCTCTTTGCTCGTATGCTTCCTCTCTCTTGCCTATTTTCTTGGATTTTCTTTCCAACTTTTCTCCAACAAACAGCCAATCTCTGTCGGCTCCTCTTCCACTCTTCTTGTGAATTTTTACTTCTAGCTTCTCTCTTCCTCCCTCGCAAATATTGTATACTACACTTCCTCTGTTCTCTCATCCACCACTTGAAACTGTAAATCATTTTAACAAATTTTCTGTTTGTACTATAGATAGCTATTGAATTCATCATTCTGGTTTAATGTGAGAAAGCAGTAGATGCCTTAGCTATTAGGTTTAAAGCTATATATTGTGTTCACTGGGTGCTGTTGATATTGGTCTCACCAGTAAAGGTGAACTGCTGGAAACCTTCAGGGACACTAYAGATAGGTCTCAGAGTAGAATTTATCCTGCCTTATATCCATACTTTTAGATGGGAAAACACACTAASAGCATAAAAAAACAAGGATATATAGCACCCCAAACAAACCAAGATGCTTCAACAACAGAAGCCACTGATAACTTAGTAAAGGAAATGTCCAAGAAGGAGTTCAGATTTGATACAGTTAAATTAATATATGAATTAAAAAATAGTATAAGGAGTGAAATCAAGGAAAAATTATAGGAA